ATACAGGTTTATAGTTTATGATATGTATATTTTTACAAAGTTTCAAGTATCATTTAGTACATTTTTTGTTTTAAGAAATTTTGACTGTATCATTTTCCCTTATTAAAACAGTTATGATTGGAAAATTACAAAACTAAAGATATAATTTAATTAATAAAGCTGATCTTGAATTGATATTAATTATCTATCACGTAAAAGCATTTTAAATATACACTAATATTTATGTACCAATTAATTCTCTTTTTCTATTCGTTTACCGATTTCTACGTAGAACGTTGCTTTTTGTTGCCAGTTTTTGATGCCAGATTAGACAATCAGTTGCTTCCAGTTAACGTTCGACGCTTTCAAGCTTTCCACCGCTGGAACTTTTGACACTTAATTGAATTGCTGCTCTCATTGGCGTTACAAACTAGGCAGGAGCAACGACCAGTGGTTGTGGGTTTTATGGATTTGCCAGTTAATCGCTTTTATTTTTCGAATGCTTATTTTGAATCCATGGTTGGTTTTATGAATTTGCCAATGTTTATCGCTTTTGTTTTTCGAATGCTGATTTTGAACCCATGGTTGGCAAGTCGAGTGTTCCATTCTTTAAACATTCGCGTCGCGCTCTGTTCTGGCGTGGCGGTTTGAATGACATCATCGGCGTGCATTAGTTTTAAAATATCGGTGCGTATCGTTTTCCTGATTCCTTCCATCAATGTAATACATATCAGGGGCTACGTTTCTAGCCTTGGGGAGGTTATGTATGTATATATGTATATTTTTCATATACTATTATACATAGGTGTGTACATGTGTATAGATTTAATATTTATTGGTTATGATTAATTATTATTATCTCTGAAAGTACTACTCAGCAAAAACACGGCGTCTTTAAATAAGCGTGAATCAGCGCATCATAAACATTACGATTGATAAGACATATCAATTAGTGAGGATTTTTTGCATTTGAATCTGGTCGCCGCAGTGCATTAATGGACGCTTTTAACCATTGCGCCATGTCACCGTTCATTTACTTTTCTTCACCTCCACAATTCAAGAACCTGAGCCAAAGTCCTATTAGGAAATGAAAAACGACTCCATACCCAAAGACTTTAGTTTTTGCAGTAAGCTTTGTATGGTAATAGTTTGGGTCTCGTAGATCTGCTGCACGTGAGATACCATTCCTGCTATTGCTACCGGACATGTTCGGTTATCTTCGACTTGTTTTCCCGATACTTTTTTTAGAACGGTTATTCGTTTTTACAAATTTCCATTTATCCATTTATTTTTCTCCAATTGTTTGCCTGACAGGATCAGGGTAGTTATTTGCCTTTATAAATTTCTGAAAGTTTTGAATTAAACGTCATTCAATGTTAATTATTTATACAGTATTGTGTTATATAATCAAAAAAAGTAGTTAGCTGTTATATTTAACTACTTTGTTAAAAAATAGTTAATAACTATTTTTATTTGCGGCAGTTATTAACTACTTTTTTAACTGTTGCTTTTTAGTTAACTACTAAATAACTACTTTTAAACATTTTCATTCACCAGATTAGTTTGCAAAATGTTTTTTCAAGTAAATAAACAGTTGTTTACAGTTTATTCCTGAAGTAAAATATTCTAAAATCTGTTATGTGCTTTTGTCTTTCTCTTAAAAATTTCTTTTTATCAATATGGTTATCAGATATCCTGCAGTGTTTATCAGTTAGAACTTGTCCTGCCACACTGATGAGACGCTCAATTGCTGCTGGGCTAGGCAATGTTGCGTTTAGTTTTATGAATGCTGCACACACGGCTGGATACAAAAACAAACTTTCAATATTCCTGGACGGATTAGTCAAGTAATTATTGAGTTGATGCTACAACAATTTCTGTCACTTCTTTTGGGATTTTTTTGTGAAATAGATTTGGATGCAAATAATGACTGATTTATATCAATTTGTTTCAATAATTTTGTTGGAGCAGTCTCTACTATCTTTTTTGCTGAATTCTGTGCTTTTACATATAAGTTTTGTAAACTGGTGGATGCTGTTCTTATAAATAAGAGTTAAATTTTGGGTTTTTTCTTCAACATTTTTATTCAGTATATGTGTGTGTACAAGTACATAAATGTATTTAGACTGTTACAACAGCTACTGTAAGGTTTATTTTCTACAATTTTAAATTCACTTGAAGAAATTCGCTGCACTGCACAGCACATTATAACCTCTACACACAGTAACATGCAATCTGCACAAATTAATTTCAAGACATGTGATTGTAAAACTGTACTGCCAACGAAAATAAAAGTAGTCTACAATTATTTAAATAATTAATATTTACTTTTTTTACATTTTTTAATAAGTTGAAAGAGTTGGAGATATTTTTTTACAATTTTTTATTGTATATGGAGTTTCTATCGTTGTCTTTGTTTGAAACCATGTCCGCAAAACACAATTTAATTATTTGACTATTCATATTAGAATTTTAAATTTTGTTTGAAACCACTCCAAAAACCAGAATCGAAAAGGAAACAGAAGTGAAAAAATTTAAAACGAATACAAGTATTTAAAAAAAATAAATTTATTCTGTAAAATAATGCTCAGGTAAAAAAAAGTAGTTAATTATAATTGTATTGTCAGTAACTACTTTAAAAATAAGTAACCAGTAGTCATAAAAAAGTAGTTACACAACTAANACTTAAACTTCGCTTCTTCCAAAATAAAATCAAACCTCCAGGATAG